AATTTTTTTAAAAAAAAAAAAAAAAAAAAAAAAAAATGAGAAAAATTAGTTATACATAATAGTATTAAGCATTTATTAATAGATGATAATTTTCATTATATTAAAAAATTATATATTTATTTATTTATCTTCACACATATACCAAAAAAAAAAAAAACAAAAAAAAATAAAACAAAAAAAAAAAAATAAAAATTAACATGAATAAATAATAAAAGATGTGTGTATATACCTTAGTAGATAAATTATTTTATATTTTAAAACACCTAAAATATAGTTAAATAAACAATAAAAGAAATTATTTTCATTATATTTATCTGTATTTGAGCAAATAAACAATTTAACATAAAAATAAATTTTTGGGAATATAAAATATATTTTTTGACGAAATAATTGTAGACTATTTTTAATTTCACTAATATTTTTACTATCTATTTTTTCTCTATTTTCATATAAAATTTCTCCTGCATATTTTTCTAGAATTTTAAAATCAATTTTATCCAAAAATGTAAAATTATCATCTATATAATTAAAATTTTCATCTTCTTTATCTTTTTTCCCATTTATAAATTTATGTACAACTTTTTTTATATTTTCTTCTTTTTCTAAAAATTTATCTTTATACTCACCTGATAGTATTTTAATTAAAGGAGAACACACTGAAATAAAAAATATGTAGAAATTAACATATAAAATAAATACATATAAAAATGATTATGAAAATAAAAGTTTAAATAAATTTCTAATGAATTGTTATGAGAAATATTATATTTACCATTTGAAATAGTTGTTATTGTAAAATTATATATGCTTTCATTAAACAAAGTTAAAATCTTATTTTGTATTTCACTGTTAAGTGGTACATTATAAACTTTTTTAATAAAATAAAGAATAGAATTTTCATTTTCTATAGATATTTTATCATTATAATTTGTTTTCTCCTTATCTTGAAATAATAAATTTTGTGTTAATTCCTTATCTAAATATAAGTTTAAAAATTCTTTATCTTTTGTAATTTTATAAAATAAATAAAGTAAAAAACTTAAATTTTTTATTAAAAACAAACTTCCGTTAAATAAATCGTTGTATTCTTTTATATAATGTTTATACATATAATATAAAGAAGTAAAAGTATTATCCAAACATTCCTTAAATAAATCTATAAATGTTTTTTCTTCAATTATAAAACTAATCGTTTTTAAAATTATGATTGTTCCAATTATATTCATATCTACTCCTCTTAAAGAAAATTTTGTATCTTTATTAAATTGAAAATCATAAAAAGAAAATTTTCTATATACATTATTTTCATTTAATATGTTTATATTAAATTCATGTTCTTCATGGTTATTTTCACTCTCTATACTGTCACTAGAATAATCTAAATTACATGTAACATTTTCAGTATTTATATTTTTACTATTATTTTCAGTATATTTATCATTCTTTATATTATCACATCTCTTTTCTTCATTTAACAGGTTATCATTATAATATGTGCTCTTATGAACACAAGTAATACTATTTATTTTTTTAGTACTAGTATGATGAGCATCTTTTTTATATTCATTTATTTTTTGCTCATTATTATGAATATAGAAATATTCTTCATATAAAAAATCATTAATTATATTAGTAAATTTTTTCTTTATTGGTTGAAAACATATATATGGTATGTTTTTAGAAATATTCTTCGTGTAGTAAGAGATATACATTTCGATTATATATAATAATCTTTCTTTTAAAGTTTCACATATTTTTTTTAAATAATCACATATGATTCTATATACATTATCATTATATGTTTCAATAATATCTACATAAATAATTTGAATTATTTTTCTAATTATTTGAATATTATTTAATTCATAAATATTCTCATTGATATTGTCATATATTGATACACCAATGTTATTTAAAATAATATTAATAGAAGAATTGAATTTATTATTGAAAATATAAAAAAATAAATCTAATTCTAATTTAGAAATATATATAGCTAACAAGCAAATATTTTTTATATATTTGCAAATATCTTTGTTAGAAAAATAATGAAAATTTTTAAAAATATTATTATTTAATATTTTTAATCTAGTACTAACATAAACATTTTCTAAAGAACTGTATTCATCTATATATATGCTATTTTCATCTATTAATGATTTTTTATAGATAAAATTTAGTATGTTTCTCATACATTTGCATTTTATTTTATATTTTTTGTAATATTCAAATTCATCTATATATTTGTTAAAATATATTATGTTAATATTGTTATATATTTTATTAATTTCGCTTTCATCATTAGTTAACAATAATATTTTATTTTTAATTAAATTATCAATATTTGAAAAATTATTTGTTTCCTCATTTTTTTTATTATCTTTAAAAGAATTATATTCACTTATAATATTTTTATTTGTAATAGTACTATCATATATGTCATTTGAAGGAGTCTTATTAAATGCTTCATTAGTATTTTTATTTAATATATTTTCAAAATTACATATTTGATTACTGTTTATATTTATATCGCTCTCATTCATAGAATTTTTATTATTATCTATTAATTCGTTTTTTTTACCACTTATATCATTATTATTTACACTAATATTCTTATTTATATTCTTATTTTTATCACAATCATTTTTCAATTTATCGTTGCAACTTGAATCTGTTATTTCATTTTTCATATGTATTCCATATATATTACTATGCATATGAATGTTATTACCTTTATTATTAGGAATATTTAAATCAGTGTTGTTTAAAACGTCTCTGAATAAATTTTTAATGTAATTTAATATTCTTTTAATAATAGATTGATATTTAGCAACTTTCGATTTTGAATTAAAATAATTACTATTTTTATTAAAAAATTTTATAGCTTTTTCTGAGAATTGGAGCATGTAATAAATTTCATTTTTTCTATTTAATTTTTTTGTTTTTTTTTTTTTTTTCTTCTTTTTTTTTCTTAATAAACTTGGATAGAGCTCCTTTTTTAAGATAATTTCATCCATATTATTTATATAATTTTCTTGACTATTCTTAGCAACCTTTTCGATGAAATTATCTAAAAAAGACGTATTAATTGGTAAGTCATTTCTAAATATTTCATATTTTGCGAACTTTTTTTTGTTTTTCTCTTTTATATTTTCATTTTGCATGAATCCTTTATATTTATCAAAATGTGTAGGAATCTCTACATCTGTATTTGACATATTTTCATTGACTACACATTCTAATTCTTCTTCATCACTATATTCAAAATTTTCTTCACCTTCAATATCATCATATTCTTCATTGTCTGTTTTGTCGTCTTCAGTTTCTAATTCATCATCATCTTCATCTTCATCTTCATCTTCTGTTACTTCTTCTTCAAATTTATCTTCATTATTTTTTATTATTTCACTTTTACACATTTTATCCAAACTATCACTATCTTCATCATTAATAGAATCATTATAAATATTTATAAAGTAGGCATATTCATTTTTTTCAATATTATTTAGAATGATTTCAAAATTTTCAACATTTGTATAATACTTTAAGTATCTTTCTATTTTATTTTTGTTCATTTTCATTAATTTTACCTCTGTGTAATCATAGTAATAATGTAAAAAAATAAAATAAAAAGTTTTATATATAAACTGTTTATTTTTTACTAACATATGTAATTCGTTTTTAATTTCTTTGTAATAACTTAAAATTTTTTCAATTTTATTAATAATTTCTGATAAACGTAAAGTTCTTTCTTCTTTTAAAATTTTAATTTCATTTAAACTTTTATATTCCTCAATTTTTCTATTCAACTTATAAATGAAATAGTAATTTTCAATTTCTTTATAAATATCTATATTTTTATTTAAATTGTTTTCCTTTTTTTCTTTTTTATCTTTGTTTTTGTAAAAATCATCTTCACTTAAATTATTTTCTTCACGCATTTCATCGTTTGTGTTTTTTAAAATTCTCAAGGTATGTATATTGTTATTTGAATTGTTACTATTTATTTTCTTATTTTTATCAATTGAAAATTTTTCAATCTGGTCATAATCACATTCTTCCATATTGACATATTTGTTTTTTTCTTGCTTATTTTTTAATTGGTTATTAATACAAATAGATGATTCATTTTCGTTTATGTTTTTCTTTTCATTTTCATCTTCATTTTCATTATCACTTTCATTTTCATATGATTCGTTATAGAGAAAAATATGTGATGAACTTTCATCTTCATCAGATGTGTTATTTTTGTTATCAGATTCATTGTCTACAAAAATATTAGATTCATTTTCATATTTTATTTTATTTAATTGTTTTTTTTTATTTTTTATTATTGTGTTAATATTCGTTTTAACAATTTTATTACCAATTTCCAATTCAGTATTATCTGTTTCATTTCTGTTTTTATTAGATTTCCTATTTTTATTAGTATATTTTATTTTATTTTCTACTTTTTTAGTATTTAAATCATTGCTACAAAAAGTATTGATTTTATTTACATACTCATATAGCTTGAAAAATAATTTATCATTATTATTTTCTTTTATTTTATTTTTTTTTTGTTCATTCAAATTCATTGTAATATATAGTCAATAAATATAATTTCAATACACATATTTAACAAAAATTAAAAAAAAAAAAGTGTTGGTAAATTAGTAAGCCTCCAATTTGTTAAATGTTTTTAAAAAAAGATATTTAAAATTAATTTCTACCATATATTTTAAATGAGTTATAAAATGTTTAACCTGTTTTCAAGATACAAAAAAAAAAAAAAAAAAAAAAAAAAAAAATTTAGATATTAAATTAATTCTCATATAAATGAAAAGTAAAATAGAAATTAAAATGAAAAATCTAAAAATTTATATTAAGATAAAAAAAAAAAAAAAAAAAAAAAAATATTCATAATTGTAGTATGTTTGAATAATGTTTTATCAAAAAAAGAATAAAATAAATAAGTAAAGATTATTTAATAAGCATGTTATTTATATATATGCAGTAAAAAAGTAATATAAATATTATAGAAACAACAAAATTTAAATAAAAATATGCCTATAATATATATATATATTTTAATAATTAAAAATTTTATTAAGTGTTATCTTTCATTTAAATTAAAATTTTTATTACATAGTTTTATCAGATTTATTTATTTATTTATTTTTTTTTATTCCTTTTTATGGGTAGAATATCCAAAAATAAAAAGAAAAATTGTCCTATTTTTAAAAATTAAAAGTTAACTTTTTTATGGTTTCTTTTATTTTAAATCATTAGCATATATTTATTATATGAATTTTTTTTTTCAATTTTTTTTTTTTTTTTCTTATGTGTAAAAATGAAATATTAATTATAAAAAGTGTAAAAAGGAAATAAAAATGTGTGATTTTTTGGGATCAAAACTCACAAAACTTGATATACATGAGGTAAAAAAGGAGTTAAGCAAAAAGAGAAAACATTATGATGACTATGATGTTTACGTTTATTACAAAAGTCTTTTAGAATTAGAAAAAAGTAATAAAAGCAAAAAAAAAAAAATTGCTGATGAAGAGGAAGAATTTAAACCATGTAATTATATATCAAGTATTTATAAAAGTAAAAGATTAAAAAAAAAAACCATTTATGATTATATTGATAAAAATGATAGTATTTATGATGATATAGTAACTAATATAAATTTTCTAGAAGGAAAAAATTACACTGATGATATTACCTTAACGTTTTTTAATGAAAGTTTATCCTATACGTTACTTAGAAATAACAACTATATTGATGGTATTCCTATTGGAGTTAAGGTTAAGGAAAAAGAACATCTTAAACAAAGTAGTTTTACAAATGATGATAATAAAAATGTATTATGTTCTTTTCATTCACCATCTGTTTCTTATTCATCTTCCTATTCTGTATCTACTTCTCGCTTAAAATTGGAAGAAAATTTTACAAATGATTTAAATAAAAAAAATAAAAGTATTGATAAAAAAAATGAAAAGGAAACATATGAAATAAAAGAAAAATTAAAATATGAAAGAGATAAAAATAAATATATGATAAAAGAAGAAACAAAAAATATAAGAAAAGAAATGGGACCAAAATTACCCCAAATTTTTGAGGCAGTAAGAAAAAGTATTGGTAACGAAACATGTAATATTAATAAAAATTACGAACGTTATGAAAATGCATATGTAAATATATTATCTCATCGAAACAATATGATTTCAATTAAAATGAAAGAACAAAAAGAGTTTGAAAAATATATTAAAGAAATATATAAACCAAAAAATAATTTTGAAGGAGCTTTTTTTGACGAATATAAAAATAACGCAGAAAAAAAGAAAACTAAATCATATTTATTAGACACAAATTTTTTAGAAAATGAAAAGGGTAATATTATGATAAATGATTTAAATAAACATTCAAATAATTACTTTTCTATTGAAGATGAACAAATCTTAGAAAAAATACATGATTATAGTTATTTAGATAGCTATTTAGAAGATGACATTGATTTAAAGGATAAAAAATTATATGAAAAATACTTGAGGGATATGGAAAAAGTAAAAAATAAGAATAATAATATTTTTGAGTTGTATGATCCTTTTACTCAAAAACAAGAGACATATGAATATTCTAATTTTTATGATTCTCTTTACAAGAGTAATATAAAAAATTTAGATAACAATAATATTAACTCTGAAAAAGTTAAAGATTTATATTCTCATTATTATAAATTAATAAATTTAAATAAAGATGAACAAATTAATAAAGATGAGTTGATAAATTTATATATGCCTAAGAAGAATTGGGTGCATTTTAGTAATTATGAAAACGAAAATAATTCACAAAATAAGATCTATGATTTAAAAAGGAAAGTGAACTTTAATAATGATATAAAAAAAAAAAATAGATTTATTTTTTTTTGCAAAATTAAAGAAAATAATATTAAAATTAAAAATATCTTTAATATAAAGGAACTTGAAGAATTTAATGAATTAATGAAGCAATTAAAAATATATGATTTTGACTTTTACACCAAAGAAATAATAAATGAAGATTTAAATACTAATTTCCAGATAGAAAATTATGACTTCTCTAAGTATATATACGAAAAATTAAATATTTCAAATGTATATAACAAAAATAAAGATCCAAAAAAAACATTACCAAAGATTGATTTTTTTTTTAAAATTCCTCAATTTGTTTTCGAAACTATTTTTTATTCCTAAATATAGATATATGTCTAATATATTTTTTTTTTTATAGCATTTCAAAAATATAAGAATATAATATTTTTCAGTGTGTTTTTTATATATGTTTAATTTTAAGTGTATAAATATTTATAAAATAGATAATATATTTCCATAAAATAACGTTGAATTTCAATTAGTGCATTATATAATACTAATTTTTCTTGTATTTTTTATTTGATTTTTTTCCTTTTTTTTGCATTTAGCATATACAAGTGCTTTATTTTTAAATAAAATTTTTTTTTATTTTTTTAAAAGAATTATTAAAATATATTTTTTTTTATTTGATACTGATTCTGTTTTTTTAATTTTATGTTCCATATTTTTGTAGAGGATATTATAGATTACAAAAAGATTAAAAGAATATTGTTTCCATATATAATTATTATTATATAAAAATTCCTTATTTTTTGTCTTTTTTTTTTTTTTTTTTTTTTTTTATATTAAACATAATACAAATTGTATAATTTATAAAAAGGAAAACAAAAGAAAAGAAATATACTTTGTGTAAATTCAATGAATATTCTTCATCATATATTAATTTGATAGAGGAATTAAATTACATACTTTTTTTTAAAATACTTTTTTTTTTAGCTTATTGATATATGCATTTTAATTTATTAAAGTTTTTAATTATTATATATTTTATGTTCTTATTATCCAATACAAATAAAATTTTACCTAAAATTTATAAATTATATTCTTATTTTTCTAATTTATGCAAAATTTATTTTATAATTTTACATTTTTGTAATGCAGATAAGAAACAATGTCATATTTGATTCAATTATTTTTATTTTTTTTTATGTACACATACGTAGAATTATATTAAAAGATAATTTTATATGGTCACATTAAAATAAAATTTTTTATAAATATATAATTTATATTGTAATATAAAAAGGTACGTATGTTACTCTTAAGTATTTAAAAAATTTTTTTTTTTCTTAATTGCAATTTTCTCATCAAAAAAGATTTTTCCATTTTCACATTTTAAATGTTTCAAATAAATGTAATTAATATATTTTTTAAAATTTATATAAATTTCTTTTTTTACTACTAAAAACATTTAAGTATAATTATGACACATTTATATTTTGGTAACACAAACATTAATGAAATATAATTGAAAATGAATTAAATAAAATAACAAAATGAAAAAAAATATAAGGAAAATTATAATATACCAAAAAAAAAAAAAAAAAAAATAAAGCAAAATTACTAAAAAAAAAAAAAAAAAAAATTTGAAAAAAAGAGTTAATTTTACATATATATAAATAATTTAATAATCTTATTATATTTTTTTTTCAGGTTTCACTCTAAGTGTGTTAAGTATCATATATTATTTGTTATTAATTCCAATCATTATCTTCTGGTAATTTGAATTGTTCATTTTCTTCTATATCTTTTTCACCTTCAGCAAGTACATCATCAAAAGGTGCTGCTTCAGATGTTATGGGAGGAGTTGGAGTTTGCGTTAAGAATTTATAAGCAAATCCAGCACATCCAAGTAAGGCTAATCCTCCAATTATACCTCCAGCAATTTTATATTTGTTATCATTTAATGATGTTTTCTTGGTTTTTCCTTGTGTCCCCTCATTTTCTCTTTTTCTTCTGGAAGGTTCATCTTTATGATTATCCCTTTTCGGAGGTATATATTCAGAATCTGTATTATGTGGTCTTGGTACTCTATCTTCAACTTTTGTTTTATTTTCGTTATCTTCTTCTGAAATAGGATTAGTAATCTCATTGTCATTATATGTATCTTTTGGGGGAATTATATTTGGTGTTGTGTCATATTCATTTCTCTTGATATCTTCTGGTTCATTTTTTGGAATTAATTCTTCATCATTTGGAATATCCCCTGAAATTTTTTCTTCTTGTTCATCATCTGGGATGTTCTGTGGAACATTTTCTGCTTCTCCATCTGGAACAGGTTCTGATTCTCTATCTTCTGTAACAGATTCAGGTTTTTTTTCTTCTGGAATAGGTTCTAGTTTTTCTTCTTCTGGAATAGGTTCTATTTTTTTTTCTTCTGGAATAGGTTCTAGTTTTTTTTCCTCTGGATCGGATTCAGGTTTTTTTTCTTCTGGAGCAGATTCGGGTTCTTTTTCTTCTGGAACAGATTCGGGTTCTTTTTCTTCTGGAACGGATTCGGGTTCTTTTTCTTCTGGAACGGATTCGGGTTTTTTTTCTTCTGGGACGGATTCGGGATTTTTTTCTTCTGGAGCAGATTCAGGTTTCTTTTCTTCTGGAACAGGTTCTGGTTTTTTTTCTTCTGGAATAGGTTCTGGCTCTTCATCTGGAACGTCTGGAACATCTGTAATATTGGGTTTAACTATTTCAGGACAATTTGGTTTCTCACAAAGGACAGTCATATGGTCAGTACATCCTTTGTGTAAAACTTCTCTTCTTCTTGTTCTTACTCCTTCTCCACAAGTAACACTGCAAGGTGACCATTCACCCCAAGATCCACAATGCGCAACTTTTTCTACTTCGATGCAAACTTCTTTCAAAAAAGGAGCTATGACATTTTGCACTTCATTCCAAGAGGCTTCTGAATAGAGATCACATTTTTTTTCCTTAAGAGGACAACCAACTAATGATTTGTTGAATTCCTTATTAATACCCATACCAACACCAATTACTGCAAATTTGGCTTTCATTTTTTTTAATTTATTTACTTCTTTCATAGCCGACTCTTTATTGTCTGGAGATCCGTCTGTAAAAATTATAACTAATTGAACTGCATCTTCTCTTCTTCCTTTAGTTAAAAAATAATTTTTCAATACTCTACTTAAGGCAAGAGTTAAATTTGTTGAGCCATTCTGAGAATATTTAGTCCTTAAGCTCCTTATTACATTTAATGCAAAATCTCTGTTAGTAGAAAAGATACTATTTAACGGAATATATTCTTTTAAAATATGAGTAAAAACGGAGAGATAAAGATGAATTCCTTGTTTTGAAATATTTAAGTTTTGTACTATTTCCTCAACTAATGGTACTGCATAAGTAACCCAATTATAATATCCTATACTTCCAGATCCATCCATTAATAAATAAAGATCTACTTTTTCATGACAAATTTGTTCATTGTAAGTTATTTCATCGACTATTTGGTCTGCACCTTTCACAACGGTGCTAAAATAAAGAAAAAAAATGAAGAGTAAAAATTTATTACTCAAAAAAATTTTCATAGTTCAAATATTTTTTATAAATAATGGAAAAAGGATTTGTTAAAAAAGACTTATTTTATTTTTTTTTTTTTTGCATACATATATAAATATATTTATATATATATGCAATTTTTGTTTTGTTCTCAAATATTTATAAAGGAAAATGCAAAATAAAAAATGAAACGAAAAAAAAACAACGATAAAAAAAAAGAAAATATATATATAACATAAAAAATATCATAAATAGAAATAAATGTTATATGCATTCATATAAAATATTATTATATATATTATTATATTTTTAAGGATATATACCCAATTAAATATAATTTATTTACATCATATTTTTTATATTTATCTAAAGAACTATATTAGCTTATACATTATTGTAGTAATAAAATTTTTATATATTAATAAATTCTTTCTATAATTCATTTCATATATACTACGTGTATATATGGAAAATTTCTATAAAACAACAAAAAAAAAAGAAAGACAGACAAGCTTACTTTAAATACAAGATTTTGTGCATTATATGAATTTATATTGTATGAATATATAAAATTTTAAAATTATTTCTATATATATTTATATATAAATTTTTTTTTAAATTAAAGTCTGTTTTTATATTAATAGAAATAGAGAGTATCTGATAAATGAAAAAACAAAAAAAATTATTATCTTAGAGAAAAAATAAAAAATGAAAATGATTTTAAAAAGTATAAATGTTCATTAAATTGAAAAAAAAATAAAACTATTCCTATTAAGGATTTTAATTTAAAAAATGTACTGCTTTTAAAAACTAAATTTTGTATATTTGATTTAAGTTGTTATTTTTGTTTTTAAAAGTTACAATAAAAAAAAAAAAAAGAAAAAAATAATAAATGGTAAACTACTAAAAATAGTTCTTTTTCAAAAATTGTTGAAATTCAAATAAGTATGATTGTTAAAATTAACATTTAAACACACAAGTGGTATTTTTAAAAAAATTTATTCAAAAAAGAGAAAATAAAAGCTTAGAGCTGTTAAAAAGAAGTGAAAATGTATTTGTTAAAGAAATATATCAAAAAATTATATTATCCAGTTAAAATATATTAATTTGAGCTCTATAAAGTTTACATATGATCAAAAAAAAATATATACTTTTTCAACAGTTGCATATGGATGTTGTAAGAATAAGAATTAATCAACTGCATGCTAAATTAAAAAAAAAAAAAAGAAGCACATTATGACCATACATGTAAAAAAGAGATAAAAGGATCAAAATAATATTATTAAAAAATATTTAATTATATAATTAACTCTCATAAAAAGAATTTATTAATTAAATAATAAAAAAGAGAAATAATTCAACTCTTTTTGAAATTTACATATTTCTTTGTTATAAATTTATTCACTTTTATATTATAAATAGCTATTGTTTTCACATGCGCAGAACAACTTCCTTTTTTGGAAATACTAAAAAAATTCAGTAAAAAATTATAGCTAGCTACTTATAGAACATTGAATAAGCAAAATCTGACATAATTTATTATGGTCAATTAAAAACATTTTTTTTTTATATTGAGATAAATCATGCATTCTTCATAGTACATATTTTTTCTTAATAACTTAAATTATATATATATCCTTTTTTAGTTTCAATGTGTTCCAAGTGTTTTCATATTTTTTTATTTCCATAAAATTTCTTAAAATTAAAATTTTCACATTTTTTTTTGTCTTTTGTGTGTATATTAATAACCAAAAAACAGCAGAAAAAAAAAAAAAATAAATTAATCCTTTATTTTAAATGACAATATATGTAAACATATAATTATATAGAGATTATCTTAATTTTTTTTTTTTTAACAAATGTCTTATAATGAAAGCAACTTAAAATTTTAAAATTAAAATTTTTTATAAAAGTTTTTCTTGAATTTTAGAAAATTATGTATAAACAAAAAATGAGGCATGTTCTTGATAAAACAAGAGTAGAAAAAAAATAAATAATTTTTAAAGGATTTCTATGCCTTCCTATATGGAAATTGCCCTAAATATATTTTATTTAAATAATACAAAGATATAGAATTCATTTTTTTTTTTTATTTGGTTTATTATTAGACAAGAAAAATTACTAATTTTACTGAAAAAACAAAATAGAAACTAGACTATATTAAAAAAAAAAAAATAATAAAATTTAATATGAAACAAGAGAAGTTAAAATTTTTATAAAAAATATAAAATGAATTATTTCCTTTAATTCTTTTTTTTATAATGAATATTTGTGTGATTTCTTTTTCTATATAATGAGAAAAAGGATTTTTTTTAAAATATGTAATTTTTATATTTAAAAAGTTTAAGTTGCACAAAAAGAAATTAACAATTTTTTATAAACAGCTTAGGTTATATACAATTATGAAAACCTTTAGTTTTTTTTTTTTTTTATAGAAAAAGAAAAAAAAATTTAAATACCTTATCATTTTTTAAATGTAATCGTTAAAATCATAAACAAAACTAAAGAGAAATTATTAAAAAAAATAGAACAAATATAAAATCAATTTATAACAATAAATAAAATTTTGGTGTTTATTCATATAATTATGTTTTATTAACTTTTTAATAAATTTCCTCTAATTACATATAATATTTAAATAGGAAAAATACATATTTCTTATAAAATTTATGAACTTTTGAAAAAAGTTAATAAAGTTTTGAAGAAAATTAGAAAACATTGGTATTTGGTTAATAAATTTTGATAAAATTAAAATTTAAAAAAAAGGTATAATTTTCATATATTTTGTAAGTCCAAATTAATAAATATATATAATTTTCTTTTTTTATATTTTTATAAAATAATTAAAAATATAACTATTTTAAAATTATAAATAATTTTTTTTTTTTTTTTTAAATGAAATATTTATGATGAAAAATGAATAAAATTTTTGAATATAATAAAAAAAATATTTTACATAGATATGTTCCCTTATATAAGAATAAATTTAATATTCTTTTTTTTTCTTTCGAAATTTTTTAATTTTCTTTATATATATTTATTTATGCTTAATAATATAAAAAATAAATTAATGTAAAAATAATGAAATATTTTAAAGCATAATTTTAAATATTTTATTGTTTTATATGAAATATTAAAATTAATATTCGTCATTCTTTATATTTTTATAAGTTTTTTACTTAAAAATGAATATCATTAATAAGAATCTGTAATTTTAATTAGTTAAAATATAAAACAATATTGATCTTAAGAAATATCAAAAAATATTATGTATTTTTAAAAAAAAATTAAAGGAAAAAAAAAAAATAAAGATATAATTATATATATATAAAAATAAGTTGAAACATTAAATATCAAATATAATGAAATTAAAAAAAAGTTTATGTACACAAAAAAAATTATAAAAAAGATAGAAAAATAAATTTAAAAAAAATGGATAAATTTAAAGAGTCTACTGATAATGAGAAAAATAAAACAAATGAAGTAAAGTCATTATCTAAAGATTTTTTTAATCAAGAACCAAAATTTTTAAATGAAATGAAAAATGAAGAAAGTTCAGAAAAAAATGCATTAACTATTCAGAATACTGCATCTTATTCGAATGAGCAAAAAGAAAATATCCAAAATAATTTTAATTTTCCAAAAAGTAATACGGAAATTTTAAAAAAAATAGAAAATAATTCAAATGACAAATTAAAGAATAACATAGAAAAAAGTGATCTGCAAAAAAATCATATTGGAAATAGTTTAGAAAATAAATTTAACTTTGGTAGTTCTTTAAAAATTAGAAAATCTTTAACAGAACAGTTATGTGGTAATATAAATAAAAAAAAAATGAAAAATAAGATATATAAAAAATATTCGGAATATTATATGTTAAATATGAATAATTTTTTAATAATGCAAAATATAATAGTAACTATTGTGCTAACATATCATTAATTATAAAGTGAAGTTACTCAGATTTTTTTTTGAAGTTTATATATATATATATATATATATAATGTGTATATTTTTTTTTTTTTTTATAGAGGAAATATCAATGAAATTAGGGAAAATTTTTTTATGTAAATCATATTTGGAAACATTCATTTATGAAAAAAATCCATATGTAATGAATTTTATTTATCAAAGAGATGATATGAGTGAATCTAAAAATCGTGTTCTAAATTCATTGCTCTTAAGCTCTTTTTCTAATTTAGTATGGAGCAATAATATATATAAACACGAATATTTATTATCAAAAGAAATTTTAAGTAAATATATAAAAGCATTAGAAAAAAATCCAGATAAAACAAATTGTTGCATAATCCCAATTTTTAGTTTAGATAAAATAAAAGAAGTTTTGAATGATCAAGAAAAAAATATAAGAATTCTTAAAAAAAAAAAATTAACTATAAAAAAAAACAATGAGAATCTCTTATTCATTTTAAATATTATAAAAAATAATTTTGATGAAATTAAAATGAAAGCACAGAGAATTATTCAGAGATTGTTATTCAGATTAGATATATTAGACAAACTATTTATACTAAAAAATAACTCCGTTTTTTTTTCCAACAAATATGAATATAATAAAATTAAATTAATAGAAATTTTGGATTTTTTCAATTCTTTTAATATAGATAATAAACTTCAAAAAATTAACAAAAACATAACAGAAATAGTAAAAGAAAAAAAAAATTTTCAAAAGTTTATTTATTGTGATAATGAATTTTCTAATTCTCTGAAAAATAATATTGCTAAAAATGAACAGGTATTAAAAAATAAAAAATAAGAACAAAAATTTAATAATAATATAGAATGAAATATAATTAAATAAATTGTAATTATTGTGAATTCTAATTTTTTCTTTTCTTTTTTTTATAGGACATAATTGAGCTTAAAAGCACAACGTCTGAAATATGTATTAATTTAGAAGAGAACAAAGAACATTTATATCATTTAAATCATTTAAATGTATTTGAAGGAGAGGAAAATTATGAAATATTATGAAATTTTTTTTTTCATAAAAGTATGTCTTTTATGGGGAGGAGATTTGATAATATTATTTTTTGTTTGTTTTATTTTTTTTAATTTTTATTTGTTTTTTAATTTTTTTTTTTTTTAATTTTTTTTTCTTCAAATTTAAAGCTTTTTTCTAGTTTTTAAGCTTCTCTTTTTAAAATTGAGTATGATTTGTTTGAAAATTTTCAATATATAAAATTATGTAGAATCTTTAATAAAAAAAAAAAAAAAAATGTCATTCATTACAGTTGCATCCTATTTGTATATATAATTTTATTTTTTTAGAATGTGGATTAGTGTATCCATAATAAAGGAACTTAATATATTATAATGCAAAATAAAATTTTATGTAGAGATTAATAAAAAAAATACACAAATAATAAAAAGAAGTATAATGTAATTTTTTTTTAAAATTAAAAAAAAAAAAAAAAATGAGTTTTTCTTTTTTACTAAAAAAAATCAATTTTAAATTTAAAATAAAAAAATTTAATTTTTAATTTTATTTTTTATTTTTTTTTTTTTTTTGCATTAAGGAAAATAAATTAAAATTTAAAAAAAGAAAACATCTAATATCTTTTTTAAATGAAAAATTACATTAGAAATTTACAAAGAAAAATCTTTTTTTTCTTTTATTAGATACAAACATAAATTTAAAAATTAAAAAAAAGATGTTTCTTCCTTGTTCTCTAAATAATAAAATTATTAGTTATTTTTAAAAAAAGAAAAATTTAAATACAATTTAATTATATATATGTATATTTACATAAGTACATACATATATAAATACATACTTATATAAATACATACATATATAAATACATACATATATAAATTCATACATACATACATACCTACATATTTATAAATTTCTTAATTTAATAGAAAGTATCAAAAAAAAATTCGTTACAACAGTAAACATATTCAAAAACAGTGGAGATTTTAACAAAGAAAATAAAAATGTAAAAAATGTCTACGAAGATTACGAAGTATTAAAAAACATAAAAAAAAAAAATACCTTGAAAAATTCATTAAAAAAATTTAGAGAAATAGTACAGAAAGAAACAAAAAGAAAAGGATATAATTTTTATTATGGATGGCCACCCTTAAATAGAATAAAAATTACAGAAGATGAAAAAGTAATATAAATAAAATAAATGATATAATATATAGATAAGAAATTCATGATTATCCTAACTTACATATTTATATTATAAATTATATATTCTTCAAGTGTGTATTTATATGTGTTCATATTCATACAAAAAAAAAAAAAAAAAAAAAAAACAAAAATGTATTGAAAATATTATTGTATTTATATTTAT